TCAGCTACAAAAAAGGGGCATAGCATGTGACGTGAGGCTGCAGTCCCGCAATCCGAAACACATATAGACCAACCCAGCACAGTGGATTGTCAACAAACCAGATGAAGGTAAATCCAAGCTGATGTCCTGATTGACGCCAAACCTTGCCGTGAGGCTACAGAAGCAGCGTCAATACTGAGTTATTGCTTGTGTGTTAGAGACAACATTGTGACTAGTGAAGGGGTTTGCTGTGAACAAAGAAGCTTGCTCTCCTTGAGCAGTGTGCCTACTCACATGCAGGAATAAAGGCAACACAGATGGAAGGGGCCGACCATATACAGTTGTGTTCAAAATAATAGCAGTGTGTTGAAAAAAGTGAATAAAGCTCAAAATCCATCTAATAGCTTTTATTTCCATCCACACAAATGCATTGGGAACACGACACATTCTATTCCAAATCACAACATGAAGAAAAATATATCAAATTTGTGTTGTTCCTCTAAAAAAAACTGAAGAAAAGTGAATAATAGACGGTTCAAAAAAATCGCAGTGTTTGTATTCTTCTTTACAAACTCAAACATTCACTATATAAACTGAAAAACGTTTGAAGATTTTGCTTTCCTTTGAATGACTTCATGAATATTTGGTTGTAGTCGCACCGTTTCTGAGAACTGCTGTACATCTGTGTTGCATGGAGTCACCCAACTTCTGGCCCCTGTGATCAGGTATTCCAGCCCAGGATGATTGGACGACATTCCACAGTTCTTCTCTATTTCTTGGTTTTGCCTCAGAAACGGCATTTTTGATGTCACCCCACAAGTTTTCTATTGGATGAAGATCCGGGGATTGGGCTGGCCACTCCATAACGTCCATCTTGTTGGTCTGGAACCAAGATGTTGCACGTTTACTGGTGTGTTTGGGGTCGTTGTCTTGTTGGAACACCCATTTCAAGGGCATTTCCTCTTCAGCATAAGGCAGCATGACCTCTTCAAGTATTCTGATGTATTCAAACTGATCCATGATCCCTGGTATGCGATAAATAGGCCCAACACCGTAGTATGAGGAACATCCCCATATCATGATGCTTGCACCACCATGCTTCACTGTCTTCACAGTGTACTGTGGCTTGAATTCAGTGTTTGGGGGTCGTCTGACAAACTGTCTCCGCCCACTAGACCCAAAAAGAACAATCTTACTTTCATCAGTCCACAAAATGTTGCACCATTTCTCTTTAGGCCAGTCAATGTGCTCTTTGGCAAATTGTAACCTCTTCAGCACACGTCTTTTTTTCCAACAGTGGGACTTTGCGGGGGCTTCTTGCAGATATCTTGGCTTCACATAGGCGTCTTCTAATTGTAACAGTCCTCACAGGGAACGTCACACCTTCTTTCATCTTCCTGGAGCTGATTGTTGGCTGAGTCCACGCCATTTTGGCTATTCTTCTATCCATTTAAATGGTAGTTTTTCGCTTTCTTCCACGTCTTTCAGGTTTTGGTTGCCATTTTAAAGCATTTGCGATCATTTTAGCTGAGCAGCCGATCATTTTCTGCACTTCTTTATATGTTTTCCCCTCTCCAATCAACTTTTTAATCAAGGTACGCCGTGAACAATGTCTGGAACGACCCATTTTCCTCAGAATTTCAGAGAGAAATACACTGTAACCAGCATGTACAACATTTTGCTGCCTTCCTTCCTTAAATAAGGGCAATAATTGCCACCTGTTTTTCAAAGAATGAATGACCTCACTAATAGAACTCCACACGGCTATTATTTTGAACACGCCCCTTTCAATGAGTGATTCAATGACACAGAATCAGCAGCATGCATGTCATGACAGTTGGGTCTGTTGGATTTCTATGACTCTACTACACCTGCTAGGAAATTATTTGCCATGTAGAAATATCATTTCTACCAAAAACAGTGATTGATCCGGTTAGTGATGTCTGACTGCTATTATTTTGAACACAACTGTACATCACAATCAGATTGTACAATCCTCTTTACATTAACTAAAACTGTGAGGGGGGGTCACCTAAGCAATCTATCCAAATTGTATGCTGGCGGGGAGGTCACAGTTGTAGATTTTTGTACAGCGCTGCGCACACTGTCGGCGCTATATGAATCCTGTATAATAATAATAACAGACAGCAGATGTTAGATCTCAAGGAGATTGTATAACAAAATTTCGGCGGCTTCTTGCCGTTTATTGTTTTTCATGGCTTCACCCCAACCAATCATCAACAAAACAATGCAGCAAATGAATGCCAGCCGGCCTTGGTGCGAAGCGGCTGCAGGTTAGAGGTGACAGCTCTAGTTATCCTTCCTATTCTCATTCCGCCCCCCAAAAACCAGCACCTGAGGGGTTAACGGGAACCAGGTGACGGGTCACAGCTCCCACTGAGGTTGCCATGGTAACGCCGGATTGTCGGGGCAACTGACTGCTTCGCCGCTGTTTGGGCAAACAATGGAGGCAGAGCGCCGTTCGGGGTGGTGGCAGTGCAGCTGCAAAGTCCACAGCCTGAAATAACCCCGGACACCTCATTGCCATGCAAATGACGGCGAGATATTCGAGGGCTCATTACAATATGGCTACAAGCACGTTACACATGTAAATAAGGGCCCAGGGCACCAGGAAACATTAAGCGGCTCTCAGCCGGGGCAGCTGCTCCCGACACCATCCAACCTGCACCTCGGGGCCGTTCATTGCACAGCGAGGCTTAAGGAGGAACCCCGAAAATATTGCTATAAAAACAGGTCACTTATGTATTCCCTGCAAAGTCAGTTCTGCTAATGAAACATTCAGCCAGACCAGGCGAAAGCTGACAGCAGGCTTGCAGTGGGCGTGTCCGCTCTGTAAAGCGATGGGCGGGAGGAAATATTCTGCCAGACCAGGCGAAAGCTGACAGCAGGCTTGCAGTGGGTGTGTCCGCTCCGTAAAGCGATGGGCAGGAGGAAATATTCTGCCAGACCAGGCGAAAGCTGACAGCAGGCTTGCAGTGGGTGTGTCCGTCCGCTCTGTAAAGTGATGGGTGGGAGGAAAGCGGGCTTATAGGTGGAAGCAGGGGTGGACTGACAACTCATGGGCCCCCTGAGCAGTAGGGGATCATGGGGCCCGTGTCCTCACCTACACTCAAACCACACCCAGAAAAGCCTATGAAAGGTACTAGGGGCGTCTCATGAGGCCCCCTACTGACCGTGAGCCCTAGGGCAGTGCCCTAGTGCCCAAATGGTCAGTCCGCCCCTAGGTGGGAGGGAACTTAACTAGGGGGTCACTAGTGAGCTGATTTTTTTCTTTGCAATATATAGATCCCGGGAATAATCCCCGCAAATAAACAAATAATTAGACAAAATCTACCCTTGCAGAAGGCTAAATGGCTGGGAGGTCTAGGCGGGTGGAACATGTATTACATACTTTACCACCCCCCAAGCTCCGGCCAACTCTGGTGCTCTCCTCCCTCCCCTCCGGTGCTCTGGTCGGTCTCTTGGCACCCCCAAGTTAACCCTGCACTGTACATGGAGGGAGCAGGAATGTGACCACTACCGGGAGCACCTTACAAAGGATTCTTCCTGGGACCCTGCTGGAGTGATGGGGGATGGGAAGGGTTATTCCTGGACTTGGGCTTTGACCCCGGTGACTGTGCCCTTTCGGCGTCCTCCTACGCATAACATCTGAACCCTGATGAAAGGTAAAATCATTAAGCCCCAAAACGCGTTGGTTGTTTTATGTTTTCTTGTCTTGAAACAGCTTCACAATTAACCCCTCCCAGCCTGTGAAGAGCTTCTAGATTCCGGGAAGAGGAGGCGGCATTCTGGTCATGTGACCGCTGTGATTGGCTGTCACACCTGTCACATGATTGGAAAGCTCCCAATGGCAAGCATGCATCGGGAACTTACTGAACCCCGCTGGCTACCGGCGGGGGTGGTAAGTTGTTTATACAGGGACGCATATATGTGTACAGCCGACGCAAAGTGATTAAAGGCGACCATACATGAAAATTTCCTGCTGAACCAGCCAGATTTCAATCCATGCTATAGCCACCAGCAGTGATCATTGTGTTATGCCAGCAGGGAAGGCTCCCCGCCTGCTGGAGGGACTCCCCTATGACCGTGTTGGTGGGGGAATTGACCAATTTTCTTTCCTTCCATCCATGGCATTATACCTTCCACTGACACCAACTAAGGGTGCTATCCCTTCCACTATTCCTCCTGAATACCAAAGATGGGGCATTGTTTACTCCCACCAGTCACAGTCCGGCCCCCCTAAAGTCTGAAGGGCATTAAACTGGTACTTTCTTTGGAAATACCATAATATAGATACCATTTAACATCTTCAAATTACATTCAGTTGATAATGGTGGAACATTCAGATTTGAAGGCTAGACTCACAGAATCTCTAAGTGTTTCGCCTTGAAAAGCTTCATCAGGACCACTTAATGTGAGCTGGCATATATGTACAAAGGTATGAGCTTACAGTCAGCAAGACAAGGATCAGGTCAGCCAAGTCCACCCTGCGGAGCACCACTGAAGGCGGATGCAAATATATAACGGGGATCTTCTGCTTGATAGGGGAAGGTATGTTAGCCACGGTCCGGATCCTCACAGTTTTTGGGGCCTTGTAACATTATTCAGAAATTTCTGGAGCCAATGTGGGTTTCTGTTCGGCCCGCACAGCAATTACAGTCCTGGTTGGGGTGACACCCTCTATATATGTGCGCCTGCCTTCAATGGTCGCGATTTTTATAACTTACGTATTTTTTAAACATTAGTCTCACGATGCAAAACCATTATACAAAATAGATGCTCTAGTGCAGCGGATCTCAACCTGTGGGTCACGACCCCTTTGGAGGTCAAACAACCCTTTCATAGAGGTCTCCTAAGACCATCGGAAAACACATATTTCCAATGGTCTTAGGAACCGAGACACCGCTCCTCTATCAGTCTCCAGGCGGGCCCGCCCACATGCACATACGTCCACATTTCCCTGGACCGCGATGTGTGCGCGGGATGACATTTCGCCCCTGTCATCTGGACACATCCCCGGGATCACTCAACAGCTCCGCCTCCTCGCCAGTGATTGGCCGCCGGAACTGTAGCTCAGGAGAGGCACAAAGATGGCCAATCACCGGCGAGGAGGTGGAGCTTGGAGAGGTGGAGCCAAGCAGCAGCGCGAAGATCAAAGAAGATCGAGCGAGGGAGCCGCCAGAGAAGGAAGACAGCTGACAGGTAAGTGTCTGTAGCGTGCAGATGGTGCTGCTGCAGCCAGGTATGCTGGCTGTAGATGGGAGAGGGAGGGAGCGAGCCCAGGCTGGAGCAGGAGTCAGCAAGGTAAGTATCATTGGTGTCAGTCGGAGGAATAGTGCCCCATCATTGGTGTCACTAATACCAATGATGGGGCACTATTCCTCCCACTGACACCAATGATGGGGCACTATTCCTCCCACTGACACCAATGATGGGGCACTATTTCCTCCCCCCCCACTGACACCAACGATGGGGAACTATTCCTCCCCCCACTGACACCAACGATGGGGCACTATTCCTTGCCCCACTGACACCATTGATGGGGCACTATTCCTCCCCACTGACACCAATGATGGGGCACAATTCCCTCCCACACTAGTATCAATGATGGAGCACTATTCCCCCCCCCCCCCCCCCCCCCACTGACATCAATGATGGGGCACTATTCCTCCCACACTGACACCAATGATGGGGCACAATTCCCCCCCCACACTAGTATCAATGATGGGGCACTATTCCCCCCCCCCCCACACTGACACCAATGATGGGGCACTATTCCTCCCACACTGACACCAATGATGGGGGGGCACTATTCCTCCCACACTGACACCAATGATGGGGCACTATTCCTCCCACTGACACCAATGATGTGGCACTACTCCTCTCACTGACACCAATGATGTGGCACTACTCCTCCCACTGCAAAATTACAGTTATGAAGTAGCAACAAAAATAATTTTATGGTTGGGGGTCACCACAACATGAAGAACTGTATTAAAGGGTCACGGCATTAGGAAGGTTGAGAACCACTGCTCTAGTTAAAGTGGTTCTAAAGGCTTTTTTTCCCTTCATGTATTCTATGCTTTAAGGTAGAAAACTTTCTGGGTGCATCTCCCCCCCTCAGCCCCCTTCCTACTTACCTGAGCCACATCTCGATCCAACAATGTGCATGAGAGCCACGGCTCTCCCGGGTCTATCTCTCTCTCTCCACACTGGCTCACACAGCAGCAGGAGGCATTGGCTCCTGCTGCTGTCAATCACAGCCAGTGGGCAGAGCCGCACTCTGTGTGTGAATGGACAACAAACAGGAGCGTGGCTCAGGAGTAAGCCAGTTCGAGTGCCCCCATAGCTATTGGGGGCACTTGGGTGGGGGGAGGAGCCAGAACCACTGCCAGGAGACTCAAGAGAATGGGGGCTGAATTAACACAGAGCAGGAAAGTATAACATTTGTTTTCTTTGTGTTTTAAAATACAACCTTTTGGGTCACTTAATGCTTTCTATACATTAAGGTAAAAAACCTTCTGCATGCAGGTGCCTGCCCCCCCCCCCCGCCCTTTCCCCTTATACTCACCTGAGCCCGATCTTGATCCAGTGGTGTGCATGAGAGCCGAGGCTCTCTCTCCTTCTTCAAAGGCTCAGAGACAGCAGCAGGAATCACTGGAGCCCGCTGCTGTCAATCACAACCAGTGAGGGAGCAGTGGGCGGAGTTGAGAGCCACTCTCTCTGGGTCAATGGGCATATAGAGCATGGCTCAGGAGGGAGCCCATATGAGTACCCCCATGGCAGTCAGCTTGCTATGGGGGCACTCAGCAGGGGGGGGAGCACCGGCTGAGGACCCCAGAAGAGGAGACTCGGGGCTGCTCTGTGCAAAACCATTACACAGAGCAGAAAAGTATAGCCTGTTTATTTTTAAAAAATAAAAATGGATCCTTTGCAATCACTTTTAATGAACAATACAATGATTTTCTTTTTCGATGTATATGTGTACATACTATATTTATATGGATACACTATACATTTAGTCCTGCTATGGCACACTTTGGATTCAATACCCATTGTCGTTCTATTCTCTAGGAGCATTTTAATAGAATATTTCCAGGTAGTTAATGTTTTCCTCTGTAGAATGTATTCCATAAACTCATTTATGAGAAGTGAAGTCACGAGGGACTGAGCGAGCTGCACGCTCTGAAACAATACCGAGCAGAGAATAGTTCATTTTGGATTTTGGATATGAACCATAACTGAAAAGTGCTTAGTTAGCACAAATGTCACTCTTGTTTAATAAAATTCCTTTTTTTTTTTTTGTACCAGTGCTGCTGATCTCCTGCATCCGCTTTGCAGCATGGCATTCCTGATTGTGATGCTTGTAGTCGCCATTGGAATTCCATGTGACAGGGTGACAATGCAGGAGCACAACTGGGAGACAGGTGCAGTGCATTGTCACTCTATAACAGGAAGTGCCTAAACAAGGACCTTCATGGCAGGATCACCATGGATTATTTTAGAGAATATGTCAACCCAACGTTTCATATTCTTTTCATATGTGCCTGCTGTACCATGTACAAGTGTATGAAAAGTCTCCCATTCTCTTTGTATTGCTTTCTTTGTGTGAAGCCCCTGGTGTTCCTGCCAGTCCCTCTGCTTCCCTGACAGCACAGTGTGGTCAGTTCTCTAGCTGTGCTGGGAACTCAGCCTGCTCTTCTCCAATGGTCAGACATTTGCTGACACACCCGACCTGCACAGCCATGCACTGCGAAGACCAGTGTGCTGCTGTTTCTCTGCCCCCACCTTTCTATGCAGCTGAGAACAGAGGGAATGTAATCACTTATAAAAAGGTATTTACAATGTTTTTCATATCTATTCACAAATTTTAAATCTTTCATTTCTATTTTAAACTGAATTGGTTGTTTTTACAAGGTGAGGGTTTACATATACAATGCCCAAAGAAATTAAAGGAACACCTTGAAAACACATCAGATCTCAAAGGGGAAAAATCTCCTGCTGGATATCTATACTGACATGGACGGGGTAACGTGTTAGGAACGTAAGGATGCCCGATCGTTTGATGGAAATGACAATTATCAACCTGCAGAGGACTGAATTCAAAGACACCCCGAAAATCAACATGAAAAAATGATGCATCAGGCGAGTCCATTTTGCTGAAATGTCATTGCAGCAACTCAGAATGGTCCCCAGTAGTTTGTACGGCCCCCACGTGCTTGTATGCATGCCTGACAAGGTCGGGGGAGGCTCCTAATGAGATGACGGATGGTGTCCTGGGGGATTTCCTCCCAAATCTGGACCAGGGCATCACTGAGCTCCTGGACAGTCTGAGGTGCAACCTGGTGGCATCGGATGGACCGAAACATGATATCCCAGAGTGTGTTCTATTGGATTTAGGTCAGGTGAGCGTGGGGGCCATTCAATGGTATCAATTCCTTCATCCTCCAGGAACTGCCTGTATACTCTCACCAGAGGCCAGGCATTGTCCTGCACCAGGAGGAACTCAGGACCCACTGCACCAGAGGAGGAACTCAGGACCCACTGCACCAGGAGGAACCCAGGACCCACTGCACCAGGAGGAACCCAGGACCCACTGCACCAGCATAGGGGCTGACAATGGGTCCAAGGATTTCATCCTGATACCTAATGGCAGTCAGGGTGCCATTGTCTAGCCTGTATTATTATTATTATTATACAGTATTTATGAAGCGCCAAAAAGTTTGCTCAGCGCTGTACATTATAGTGGGGGACAGAACATGTGACAATACAGTAACAATACAATACACGAGGGGTTCGAGGGCCCTGCTCTTTGGAGATTACAATCTAGGAGAGGTCTGTGTGTTCCTCCATGGATATGCCTCCCCAGACCATCACTGACCCACCACCTGAACCATGTTACAGGCAGCAGAACGTTCTCCACGGCTTCTCCAGACCCTTTCATGTCTGTCACATGTGCTCAGGGTGAACCTGCTCTCCTCTGTGAAAAGCACAGGGAGCCAGTGGTGGACCTGCCAATTCTGGTGTTCAATGGCAAATGCCAATCGAGCTCTATGGTGCCAGTGAGCACAGGGCCCTCTAGAGTACGTCGGGCCCTCAGGCCACCTTCATGAAGTCTGTTTCTGATTGTTTGGTCAGAGACATTCACACCAGTGGCCTGCTGGAGGTCATTTTGTAGGGCTCTGGCAGGGCTCATCCTGTTCCTCCTTGCACAAAGGAGCAGATACCGGTCCTGCTGATGGGTTAAGGACCTTCTACAGCCCTGTCCAGCTCTCCTAGAGGAACTGCCTGTCTCCTGGAATCTTCTCCATGCTCTTGAGACTGTGCTGGAGACACAGAAAACCTGGCAATGCTACGTATTGATGTGCCATCCTGGAGGAGTTGGACTGCCTGTGCAACCTCTGTAGGGTCCGGGTATGGCCTCATGCTACCAGTTGTGACACTGACCCTAGCCAAATGCAAGGCTAGTGACAAACAGACAGAAAAGACGATTAGGGAAAAAAATGTCAGTGGCCTCCACCTGTAAAACCATTCCTGTTTTGGGGGTCGTCTCATTCTTGCCCATCTAGTGCACTTGTCGTTAATTTCATTAACACCAAAGCAGCTGAAACTGATTAATAACCCCCTCTGCGACTTACCTGACCAGATCAATATCCCAGGAGGTTCAGTGACTTGATGCTAGACTCTGATTAAAAAGTGTTCCTTTAATTTTTTTTGAGCAGTGTACTTTAATACAAGTTACAGATTTAGAAATACTGAAAATGATTTTTGAAAACTTTATTATGTTAAATCTTATACCAAATAACTAACCAGTATGTGGTGGAGGGGTGTGCCAGTGACTGAGCATCATGGGAAATCAGTATTGTGGCTCTGCATGCACCAGATCAGGCACGGCATGCTGGAACTTGCAGTTCTTCACCAGCCAGAGAACTACAGGCTGCAGAGGCCCCAGCATGGGGCAAACCCTTCTCCTTGGGATTGGTCTGGGTGACAGCCAAGCCATGGCATCAGCACTGAACCGCTGGACGGGCTGGCTGGCAGATTTACAAGTTCCTCGGCTTGGTGTCTCGGCCTCTGGCAAATTCTCTGTTTATTTTGTCCCCTGAAGTGGCTGCTGTGCATAGAGTTGGCAAACAACCTGAATGAGTGTCTACACCACCGGCCAGAACACCAGACCAATCGACCTCCGGGCAATAAAGGGCGACCTCTTCCAGATGAAGAACACTGACAGTGGCCACAATGGGTCAGGATTTCATATGAAGTCTGGTCACCGAAATACCACACAATGTTAAAGTGAACCTGTCATTAAAAGTCTGTAAGAATAAATTCC